TGAGATCAGGGAGGACCAGGTGGGGGTGGAGATTGCCTCAAAATCTGAGTTTTGAACATCTTAAATTTGAGATGTATAGTAGTTATCTAACTGGAGATCCTAAGTGGATGGCTGGTTATAAAACGTGGTCAGGGCTAGAGATGAAAGTTTGGAAATTTAAATTCATCAGCATAAAGACAGTATTTAAAGTCCTGGAAATAGATAACCTAAGAAGAAAGCAGAGAATTAGAAGAGGGCTTGATGCTGAGTTCTGATGTCTCCTACCTTTGTATCTCTAGTCCTTACCTTTCTCCCATATTTGAGAACCACATATCAAACTGCCTTACATAATCCCAACATGTCCCATAATGACTCCATAGAATTCCTCTCCGAAATTGGTCCTCTTTCTGTATATCACTTGCTCATCAATCAACTAGCTCTCTTCTTAACATCTCCAGTACTTTTCCCCACCTTTCCATCCCCATGATAGTTACTTTAGTAACTCATGCCTAGATTACAGTAGCCTACCCATTGGTGTGTCTACCTCCAGTCTTGCCCTTCACTGTTGCCATTGGGTTCCTACTTGACCATGGTAGTTCCTTACTTAAAACCCTTAGATGGGTTCCCATTATGTAAGATAAAACACAATTTCTTCAACATAACTTAAAAGGCCTTTCAGGATCTGTTTCCTGCTGACCTTATCTTCCACCTAGTCCCTCTCCCTTACATCCTAGACATACCAATTTATCAATTGCCTTTAGTTCTCTGAATTTATTATCCTTGTTTATAACTGCAAACATGCACCTACAATGCTCCCCACTACCACCTGTTATCCAGCTCTATGAAGTTTCTAGATTGCCCTCCAACCAAGCCAACTTGATCTGTCTTCTTTCTTGATATCCCCTCAGTATCCTGTGCATGCTTCCATCTTTATTGTCTGTAACACCTTATTGTATTTATGTGTTCATGTACCTTTCTCCCTCTACTGGCCTATAAGCTTAATGAGGGCAGGGATGGTGCTTACTTGTCTTTGATTTTCGGGTACCTAATGTAGTGCGTAGCATATAATAACCACATCAGCCAATATTTATCAAGTGCTTATCAGTGCCAACTAATTCTGTAAATGCTTTACAGGTATTGATTCATTTAATCTTTACAACAACCCTACAAGGCAGGTACTAGTATTATGCCTGATTGACAAATAAGGAAATAGATACAGAAAGGTTAAGTAATTTGCCCAAGGTCACACAGCTAGTAAGTGGTGGATACAAGCCCAGGCATTCTAGCTCCAGAGTCTGTGATTATAATCACCAGTCTCTCGGTAAAGATTCAGTAAATGCCTGTTCCATGAATGGGAAATTGGCAATGGGATTTTTTTTCACGTTATTGTTCTGACCTTGACTATTTCATCTTCTCTTTCATTTTAAAATCTCATTTTCTTCATAGCTCAGACACAACAAAGCTGCAAAATCAAATAACAGATCCTTCGCTATGGAGCACAAGGGGGTCAATAAGGACAAATGTCATTATCTTCACACCTCTAGACACTAGCAAGGTAGGTTGATTTATTGGTGCTCAGTGACCAGGGCCAAAGCATGGGAAAATAAGACAAGACCAAACATCATAACATCTTAACATCAAAACATCATAACAGCAACCATTTACTAAGAGTTCCACAGAGGCCGGGCATTTTTATTTAAGAGTTTCACATGAATTATCTCATCTAATCTTTCCAGCAGCCCTCTGTGATGTAGACACTGTTATAATCTTCATCTTGAAAATGGGAAAATGAGCTCAAAGGGGTTAGGTAACTTGTCCAAGTTTGCCAACCCAGATTTATGGGGCTGCAGACTGCAGAGTCTAGGCTTTAAATCACTGTGGGAAACCGCCTCCATGCGCCTGTGTCAACTATGATTCTACAGCTGCACTGTCCCCCATGGGATAGCCACTAGCCACATGTGGTGTGGTTAATTTAAATTAATTTAAATAAAATAAAATTTTAAATTCAGTTCCCTAGTCACACTAGCCATATTTCAAGTGCTTGAAAGCCACACGTGGCTAATGACTATCATATGAGAGAGTGCAGACAAAGACTATCTCCCTCATCACAGAAAGGTTTATAGGACACTGCTGCACTGGAGTGCATTCTCTAAGACAGGGCAGGCTTATTCCAAGTGCTGTACCCTTCCTTCTCTTCACTCTGTCAGTCTGGCTCTTCTCACTTCAGTCTCAGGGAAACTTTCAGGCATATGTTAAGGTAATAACTTTCATTATTGATCCTTCTATCATTCACCTCCTGGGCAATATCACCCTTTCTATCCACTATCTGCAATTCATCCTCATGCCCCATCCCAGTCACCTTTCCCCTCTCTAGCTCTGGGAATGCAGAGGTTCTGTTGTTATTCATTCTCATTCTGCCTTCAACCCAGATAGTTGGGTAGGGGACAGATACTTCACAGCCACGAGTATGAAAGGTCCCCCCCAAGTAAAAATCCCAGACTGCTGTCTGTAGCTACCCCCTGTCTCACCTCCCGCTATCTGCTCTGCTCTCCAGAGAGACGGTTCACCCTAACCCTGGCCCAACTGGACTGAGCAGTTGAGGTGCAGGCTCTTGTGGCTAATACAACTCCAATATGATTTTGGAACTGGTGAAAGGACCTGGAACGTTTTTAAAATCCCATGTTACCCAATGTAAATGAAATTTGATAGGATACTAGGAGACAGGCTGGTTACAATCTGCTCTGCACACAAGGACGAGTGAGGAAGAAAGAAGACAAAGCACCCAGGGATAGGAGCGCTGAAAAAGATACACTCAGTTACCCATGGTCATGGAGAACAGACATGACAGGATATTAAAGCCCAAAGATAATCCAAAATTGCACTTAGGAATACATTTCTATGACCCATCCACATCCTACCTCTGAGCTCTAGCATATTTATCAATCTAATAGCCTTTTCTCACATTAACTTTAAAATGAGTATATATTTGTATTTTCCAAGCTAACTGTCGTTGATGGCTAGAGGAAGTGGGCAACAACATACAGACTGGGCAGGGTAAGGACAGCCGAAAATGACTGATGAGCCACAGAAAATGGAGCAATGTAAGAATCTGAGAGTCACCTATGCACACTGCCCAAAGAGGGATTCTGCCTGTCAAGGCAACTAAAGGGTTGAGTCACCTAAGACTCTTCTTGGAGGTCCACACCACAGGTGTTTTAAGTCAAGCCAGGTGTCTCAAGCTGGATGTCTTTCAGTCCCTAATGCTGCCAGTCTCATGGTCTAAGGTGACCAAATTCAGAGACACTCTGTTGATTCCCAAGAGATTCTCACGCAGAAACAACTTTAGTCCTGCTGATGCCACTTAACGATGAGCTGTAGTAGGGAAAGGAAGGCTGGGATGGCTCTGCCCCCAATCCTGTGATGTGTGGGCCATACTACCTCTGAGAACACAGCTGTAAAAGCGGTACAATAAGCAACATTCAGGGTTCTTGAAGTGGTGATAGCAGAGTGATAAAGGGAAAGGATTAGGGGCCAGAAGACAGAATCAATGCTCCTGAAAGCAAGAGTCCTGGCAGGATGCATTTCCTGGTTTCTGTCTTCCCTCTGAAGGGGAGAAAGTAGGTCAACACACTCAAAGAACTGTGACCAGGAACAGTGGGTCTGAGAGGAAGTCATTCAACTGAGCCCTGCCAAGATAAAGCAGTAAAAGACATGCCTTTCATTTTAAGGCATTTGGCGGAGGTAGCCTGGCTTTGGGGAAAACTCAGGCTATTGATCTCTTGGTGGGTATTCTTGCAGGCCCCAGGAACTGGGTGCAAGAGGAGGCTCACATTTTAAAACCACATCTGAATGGTTGGCTGGCATGAGCTGGCAAGCACAGGAATGTTTATGAGCAAATTGTGTGTCTACTTTGGCTTTCAGACAAGATGGACAAGGCTTAGGGTAGCTTGGCTAAATATAGATAGCACAGGGAGGCCTAGGAAGCAGGAGAGCTAAGTTGCATTCCCAGGTCTCTGAGTGAACCTTGGAGCAAACTCCCTGAGTGTCTTTCTTTCATATACTGATTTGTTCTTAGCAAGGCAGGAGTATTGAAAAAGTTTTCCCAGGCCTAGAGAAGGGTTCACACTGAATCTGCTACATTTTCTTGCCTCATCTTCCCTCAAAAAATCCAAGTTTGGGGAAAAGACTGGTTATGAAGGTAGAGTAGCTGATATACTTATAGAAATAGCACAAAGCTATGATGACCCACTGAGATCCTCAAGTCTGCCTAAACTAATCAAGGTTATTGCCTGACCAGAGCCAGAGGGAGGCTACCTGGCCCCTGGTATGGATGCAGAGGTAGCAGAGAAGCATACAAGAGGTGCCAAATCAGAACTCCTGCTGCATAACACATGGCTATGAGGCAAGCAGTGTGAAACACAGGAATTCAAGCAGGCAATTTTAGTAGGAAATTCAGAAAGCAGGCAATTCCTACCCTTTGTCACTACCCATATGCCATTCCCCTCTTCAGCAACATTCTACTTGTACAGAATCAAGGAACCCAAACCAATGCTGCTTTCCAGTCTGTAGTTAGGTGGCAGTGTTCTTGGGGAAAACCTGGACTAGTCATGGAGCAGGGGAAGCCGAGCCCAAGGAGACTCTTTAGTATTTCCTGACTCAAGACGATTGGCCCTACCCTCATTCCTGGACCCTTCCACCAGGAGTCAGTGTATCTCTGTGTGGCAAGAATATCAGGGAGAAGTTACTATTATTTTCCTGATTATGAGAATAATGAGTGGTTATTTCATATAATTAAGAGCATACAGAAAATTATAAAGTAGAAAATAAAAACCACTATAATCCCATCACCTAAAGATTACTGCTGTTAATAGCCTTTGTGTAAATTTGGAGTACTCAGGTCTACAGGTCTAAATTCAAGTCCTGGCTCTATTGCTTACTGACAGTGCGACCTTGGGCAATTACTTAACCTTTCTGAACCTTGGTTTTCTTACCTGCAAAATGAGAATAACCATAGTACTCACTTTAAAGCGTTGTTGCAAGGATGAGAGAATTCATGTATAGAGGTTTCGTAGTCCCTGAAAAATAGTAAGTGATCAATAAATGTTGGCCATCATCATCATCATTATTCTATGTACCTATATGCAAAACCATCCATATTGATGGCTGCATATTTTATCTGGCGATTGTAATATTTCCCTCGTGTTAAACATTTATGCTGTTTCCAAGATTTCACTATTACACAACTGCTGCAAGGAATATCCTTGTACATATATCTTCTTGTACATCTCTGATGATTTCTTTAACATAAATTCCCTAGAATTGAGTTTACTGGGGAAAAGAGTATGACTATTTTTTAGGCCCTTGTTACAGATTATAAAATAGTTTTCTAGAAAGATTCTACTCATTTACATTTCTACCAGCAGGGCACATAAGTACCCATCTCTTCATACTTTCACCAACACTGAGTAATGACACTTTTCTTTAAAAGATTTTATTGGGGAATTGGGGGAGGGGAACAACGCTGGGGAATCAGGGAAGGGGAACAGACAAGTTGCTGTCCTTTTGTTCTTCAGTCTAGT